GGACATGGAGTACAGTCTTGAATGAATCTAGATAAAATCTCAAGATTCAATCACGTGTCTTTAAAAATGGTGTTCTTCAATAAAATTTAGTTCCAGGGTAAATCAGGGAGAGCTTCTGATACAGCATCAAAATATAGAGAAAGGGAGACAACGGCTAAAAGAATGACAGCAACACAGGACACTAATTTCCTCATCAGTAGGACCAGCAGACTGCATTTATACTACAGAAGTTTACACACAGGTCATGGCGAATGACCCCGGAACTGCTCTGACACCTATCTCTCAAAGCAAGGAGTTCAAACTGGAAAAGGCTTAGGGAACTGCAAAAGAGATCAGGTAGCAAATCTTCCTGGTATGAAGACTTACAACTCCTAATTTGACATCTCAATAGTTGGTACATTTAGAGACAAAACCAAAACCCAAAGCTTACAGCTTCTTGAAAGTGAAAGTCACAGGCTACTGAGCCAATGAAACTCACTTCCGCTTAGGACAGTCGTCCTTCACCTTCAGAACTGTGTGGCTTACTCTTCCCTGGTTCTAAGGTTCTAATTCTTATCTTTCTGGTCCCTCTGAAATGACTCAGGAAATAGCACAGAGTTGAAAATCTGAGGGATTACCTCCATCTTCATTTATCCAGTAAAGAAAAAGATTCATAGTTCCGACTTCCGTTAGCTGGTTATCCGCTCCATAGAGCCACAGCACCTGCTGACACCCATTCTCCATCGCTTCACACTGGGCAAAAAGAGACGCTCCGTAATTCCTTTAAGAAAGAGGAAAGGCACTGATAAGGAACGCGCTTCATTCCTACGCCCACCCCACCTCCTGTACTCTCATAACCTAAAGTCTTTGATTCACATGTAGATGTGGTCAATCTTTAACGTTCTTAAGATACACACTCTCTCTAGCTAACGGAGTCACAGTAAAGTAACTAAGTGATTTAACTGCAGAGAACAGGGGGAAACCCTGCGATCCTAACTGCAAAACTGCTAATGCCAGGACACAGGCAGCCAAGTTAGGGAGAACAGGTATCCGTGTAAGTTACTAAATAGTTTTCCATACACCAAGCAATTTCACATTAATTATTTCATTTAAACCCCACACCAACAGTGTCAGGAGGGCACTAGCGTTATTTCCAATGTTCAAATGAGAAACTGAGGCTTAGAGAAGTAACCTCTGAAAAGTCACAGCAATTTAAGTTGAAGAGCACCACATCTGTGCCCTCACCTAAGGCCTTCTGCTATACCCAGGGAACATTTAATGTCCAATGCCTAAATTCCCACCAAAGGTAGGGTTAAAAAATCCTTATGTTGGATAAAAAACACTTCAAAATTTCATTTTTCGGGGCGGCACCTGTGGCTCAAAGGAGTAGGGCGCTGGCCCCATATACCAGGGGTGGTAGGTTCAAACCCAGCCCTGGCCAAAAACTGTAAAAAAAAAAAAAATTTTTCATTTTTCTCAGCCTGTGTTATCCATCCTTGATTATCTACAATGAAAGGAATGCAGTACCATCTTCCTGGAACTACAGATTAGCCTAGTAACAGTTTTAATTTGTCATCTTTTTTTTTTTTTTTTTGGCTGGGGCTGGGTTTGAACCCGTCACCTCCAGCATATGGGGCTGGCGCCCTACCCTTTTGAGCCACAGGTGCCCGAATTGTTATCTTTGATTTAAACTCATAGGGGATGATTATGGAGAGTATGCCTGAATCGAAACCATGGCTCTTCAGTGCCAGGAAGCACCTGGGCAAGGATTAAGAGAATTAAAGACCTCAACTCTTCCAGTGGTGTTTAACTGTTGATTTCTATATTATTATAGACTACAGACAGTCTTTATTCCACCAAACGAATTTTCTCAAAACTCTTCACAGATGTCAACTGTACCCGTAATGTCCATCAGATAACTGAGACCCTAGGGAATCAGTGGGTTCCCTCCCACGTGCTGCCAGAATTCAAAAGAGAAATACTTGTTGCTGGAGGAAAGGGGGGGGGGGAACCCTGAAAAATTGAGAAAACTGCTTACACAGAAAAATTTCAATATCGTTTTAAATGGAATCAATTGCTGGGAGAATAAATCCTATCATGGGGAATCCAAATTTAAGATAAAGAGAGTCCAGAAATGAAATTAGAAAGTGAGAAACCTTCACGATATGAACTAGTGCTGAAGACATTGTTACAGGTGGAGAATCCCTTAACTGAAAAGCAAAATTCACAGTGCTTTGCAATCTGAAACTTGTCAACACCAACATGCTACTCTGAATGCCCCCTGAAGCATTTCAGAGTTCAAATTTTCAGATCAGGGATGTTCCACTGAAAATATTCCTCTAAAATCTGAACCCAAAACACTTCTGGCCCCAGGTATTTCATAAAAGGGATATTTAACTTGTATCTGCCAGAAAGAGTACTAAGTACTCAACCATATTATTTCACTGAATCATCTTACATCAATTCTAAGGTACAATACTTTTGAGGACTTGGAGGGAGAGAGGATTCAAGTGTATAATATTGCACATAGATAGTAAATACATGTGATTCCAGACCAAGCACGGTGGCTCAGGCCCGTAATTCTAGCCCTCCAAGAGGCCAAGGTGGGTGAACTGCTTGAGCTCAGGAGTTCAGGACTAGACTGAGTAAAGGGAGACCCAATCTCTACTAAAAAACAGAAAAATCAGAGGGGTCTGGTGGTGCATGCCTGTTGTCCCAGCTACTGTGGAGGCTGAGGTAAGAGCCCTTGAACCCAAGAGTTTGAGGGTGCGGTGAGCTAGAGAGACGTCACGCACTCTGGCTTGGGCAACGGAATGGGATTCCACTTAAAAAAAAAAAGTAAATACCCATGATTCCCAGATATCACTGCCTCCCAAGCCCCAGCTTTTACCCACTAGGTTATAATAGCGCATTTGGTGAGAGCTTTGTATATGCCAAGCACTGTCCTGAGCACTTTACATTATGTCCCTTAACCTGAACAAGTAAAGTAGGTATTACTGCCTTGATTTTATAAGTGAGGAAACTGAGACTTAGAGCAGATAAGTACCATGCACAAGGTAATCAGGTTTGTTTGATTTAAAGGGATTTTTTTTAGAGCAGTTTTAGGTTCATAGCAAAATTGAGAGGATGCAAGAGATTTCCCACACACCTGCTTCCCCCGCACATGCCCAGCCTCCCGGACTATCAAAGCCCCCCACCAGAACCTGCGCTGACACCTCGTCATCGCCCAAAGTCCAGGCTGACATCGTGGCTCCCTCCTCCTACTGTACACTGTATCAGGTCAGACAAGTGTATAGTGATATGCATCCACCGTTATGGCAGTCAGGGTCATTAGCCAGGTCTTTCTAACTCCAAAGCCTGCACTCTTAAGCTCAGTGCTTCCCCAGATTAGTTGCATGTTTCAAAAAACACCAGGATCATGATGCTCAGTCTGTGGCCCAGATCAAATATAGCAGTCTCCAGAGGTGGGGGCCAGGTTTCGGTTTGCTAATGCTATCGGGTGATCTCAATTTGTATCTACCGTGAGGCCCACTATGCTAGAACTCTCCTTCAGCTGGGCACAGCTGTATGACTTTTCTTACATATATTTAGAAATAAAAATCATCTCTATTATTTAGAAATAACGTTATCTCTACTGGCTTGAAACTAGTGGAATAATCTTAGTTTTTTTTTTTTTTTAAAGCTTCTCTCCCTTCTCCAAATTCACTGAAATGGCAGAAAGTTCTTTTATTTATTTATTTGACAGAGTCTCTGTCGCCTTGTGTAGTGTATGTCAGCCTCACTCACAACAACCTCAAACTCCTGGGCTCAAGGGATCCTCCTGCCTCGGCCTCCTGGGTAGCTGGGACTATAAGCAACCGCCACAACGCCTGGTGAGTTTTTCTATTTTTAGCAGAGATGGGGTCTCACTCTTGCTCAGGCTGGTCTACAACTCCTAAGCTTGGGCAATCCACCCACCTTGTCCTTCCAGAGTGCAGGATTACAGGTGTGAGCCACCACACCTCGTCATGGGAGCAAGTTCTTGAGCTAATGAGAATCAAGTTATTTAAAAATACCAAATGATGGCTCAGCACATGTACCACAGTAGTTATGGTACCAGCCACATACACCGAGCCTGGGCCAAACAATCATGACAACTGCAACAAAAAATAGCCAGGTGTTGTAGCAAGTGCCTATTGTCCTGGCTACTGGAGAGGCTGAGGCAAGAGAATTGCTTAAGCCCAAGATCTTGAGGTTGCTGTGAGCTGTGACGCCATGGCACTCTACCAAGGGTAAGACATTGAGACTGTGTCTCAAAAAAAAAAAAAAAAGAAAAGAAAGAATACCAATTGACTACAGAGGTCCTAAAAAGTAATTGAAAGGTAACTGTTGACTGAATTAGGTTTAGAGAAGACATAATAATTCACAAGTCTAAAGCTGACTCCCCGTGAGTTTGCCAACTAAATAGGATGACACTAATAACGGAATCATTGATTCTCCTTCTCCAGGTTGGGAGCATAGGAATAGACAGTATTTGAAGTTGGAAACGTTGGGCTAAATGTGGGCCAAATGTCCATCTTTGGGGTTATGCCTTTCCTCTTGCGATCTTTATTTGAGTTCACGGACTCCAACGTTCTCTTCTCTAGTCTCTTCCTCTCCTGGGAGATTTCTAGTCAACTACCAATGCACAGTCCACCTTGGCCTAATGAATCAAAGAATTTTTTAAATTATGATTCTTTACTTTTAAAGTTCCTTTATATTTACAGAAAAAAATGAGCAAAAAGTAGAGTGTTCTCATGTTATAGCCCCTGACTCCCATCCCAGTTTCTCCTATTATCATCATCTTGCATAATTTTGGCACCCAAGTCTATAGTTTATTAGAATTTGCTCTGTGTTGTACAGAAAGAATTTGGTTTTTTTTTGAGCCAGAGTCTGTCACCCTGGGTAGAGTGTTGTGGTGTCAGAGCTCACGCCAACCTCAAACTCCTGGGCCCAGCTAGGTTTGGTGTTTTTAGTATAGACTTTCAGTCTTGCTGAGGCTGGTGAAAGCATTAATTTTTAACTGACCCACAGTGATCATGTAGTATGTATTCTGTGAACTAATCAAGATCTCCCTGCAATTTCTGCATCCTCGTGTTATCTTTTCCCTAGACAGGTAGGGGGAGCTAGAGAGCAAGATTGAAAAGGGGGAAACTTTTTCCTCATGGCTTCTCATCAGGAGATCTGTTTGTAAACTTAGTGTACCCTGCACCCTAAGAGAAGTTTTAACAAAGTAGCCTACATGGTATGCTGTAGTGCATATGCAGAAGTTCAGTGAAGAAGTCTGAACAAAAAAAGAAAAGAAAGCAAGAGAGTAAACAAAAGGAGTTTTCGACTTCATTAGCTGTGGACAAAGGCACTGAATGCTCTAAGCCAGGAGGAAAACAGACTTCCTAATTTAATGGACCCCATTAGGATGTCTATACTCTGAGAAAACACAGTTGCTAAAGTTACCAACAAGAACAAATTTTATGACTTTTTTTGTTTGTTTTAAGAAGAGATGGGGTGGCTATATTGCCCAGGCTGTACTTGAACTCCCGGGCTAAAGAAATCCTCCTGCCCCATCCTCTTTGAGTAGCTGGGACTACATTCGTCATGTTCCATTGAGCCCAGTTACTATTCTTTATTTCTTTGGGGCGGGGCTGACAGGAGGAAATATAGACAACCACAGGTCAAAGGCAGCTGTCACTGTCTCTCTAGTATCTTAGCAGCACATCCTTCAACTCCCCCCACTTCTTGAATCTATGTGTTGCACAAGGGCCCACAAGATTGTCACTGAGCCACCCCCGGGACTGCCGCCACCCCTGGGTATGTGATGGACACAGCACCACTTGACACAAAGGAAAAGCCTGTGATGCTTAATCCAGTTATTCTTGTTCATCCATAGGGGCCTCCCCAATTCGTGGCCAAATCCACCCCTGAAATTGTCCGACACGTTTCAAATGCTTTTTTACTTCTTGCCAGCTACATATGGCCTACGAGACCAGCCTGACAGAGCCAAAGGAGGGCTGTCCCTCGGCCAGTTGGCAGCAGGTGTGGCTACAATCTGTGGCAATGAAGATAGCACTTCAATGAAGCGGGCACCTTCCCCAGACAGGACTCCCTAGAGCCAACGGAGGGCCAGAGTCCCAGGACCAGATGGTCTTTAATGCCAGCCCTCACCCTGCAGCCATAAGACCAATGCCCAGGGCCAGTGCATTCAAAGCACCGTTGTGATTCCTAATTTAGTTCCTTACTTTAATCTCATCTTTCTCCCTTATGAAGGGCCCCAGGCTATCCTTTAAACAACTGGCACATTTAAAACAACAACTTAATATGAAACAAAATGAGCATTAAAGTGTGAATATTATTACTTTTGTATCCCAGTGAAACGGCAATAACAAGATAGGTCCCAAAGGGCTCTTTCCTGTAGACAGAGACACAGACGGACTTACCCTCCCATTTTGCAGTCTCCAGTTCCACCCTTCCAGGCTCTAACATACTTCGGATTGGCCCACAGGGACACTGGTTTAAAGCTTCCACTTGAAAAATAAGGACCCACTGGGCTCAGAATTACGAAGAGCAGGGCTTTGCCAGGCTTCTTGACCCCGAGAGAAGGCTGCAATCAAGTAGAGGCACGGCAGTTACTTACGATGTAGACACCAATCTTTAAGGTCCAGCATAGACCCGACCAATGACAGGAGCTATGACTTCTACAGCTGAATCACACAAAGCCTGATGTGTTCTAAGAAGAAAATCCTGGGAATGGAGCACTTAATTTTCGTTTTGCTTTGCTCTGCTTTCTGAGTTATGAAAGCAAATGTGTCCATTTTTTTCTATTAGGAGGATTTTGGATGAGAAGCCTATTTTTAATACCTAGCTATATAACACCTTTCAAGGTTGCAAGGATTGAGAATTGTGAGACTGGAGAACCCAGACATGGCTTTAGACTTGGGGGTGAAATACAACACAGCAGAACCTCTGTAAGTTGACCATCCAAGGGTCTGTAACAAACTGGTTCATATAAGGAACTAGGCCTACTGACACGCACACGTGGTGCCTAACTGGTCTGCGAAAATTAGGCCAATTTGAGGAGGTGGTCCACATGGAGGGTCAACGGTATTTGCTTCACTAATTTGCCCTTTTTTTTCACAGCCAAGTGATTGCTTCAGGACACAACGGGGGAGTGTGCCTTTCCCACACCTGCTCACTCACATCGGATAGCAGGTAGCAAGACTGTGCCTTCACTAGAGGGAAAAACATCAGGCAGGATAAACACCATCCCAAGGGTAGGGGACAAAGGACTCGTAAATGCAAAGATAGAAGACAGCCTTCTCCACAAACACTAGAAAATAAGAATCCAGCGCCGCAAAATTGTACAAATTCCTCCAGCACAAAAGCACCAGCCGATAAGGAATGAGGGGCCACTGACGATTAAGGAAGAAAATTGAGGGCCTCAAAAAGTTTTCAGGGTTATGTATGACAAAGGCAAAAAAGGTCACAAGGTTATCCTCTGCAATTCCAGACCTCAGGAAATAAAAGGCAAGGCAGGACTATTAGTTTAAGAGTCTTGGGCTATAAACCACTTCTGTCTAATCTTCACTGGAGCCTGGTCTGCCTGGATGGGCGTAGGGATCTGTCATGCAAAGCATGAGATTAAAACCAGAGGAGACTCAATTCCAGC